CCGGAAAGGTTAACGAAAGTCTCGATGTGGGTCTCTTTCTTGGAGCTGTTCGTGACTGTATTTCTGTACTTGCGGATGATGTCTTTGACTTTGGTCTCGTCCCTTGGCCATATTTCAGGCTCAGAAATCACCTCATCGGTTGCCTTGGTTGGACCGTAGACAATGAGACATGTCTTGACGCCGCAAAGAGTTGAGAACTCCTCTGCTTTCTTGTAAAGACAAGCTTTCCTCTTCTTGTAAGTTGTTATCCTTGTCTTATCGTTAGCTATCCTGTGTAGTTCTACTTTCTTTTGTGCCATCCTCGTAACCTTTATTATTACAGGAAACATATAAAGACATATAAATATTTTTCTTACAAAAAAAAAAATCCCACGAAACATATAGACCAAACAAATATAGACATAAAAAACTATGTTAGATGAAGATGAAATTAAATAGCCGAAATACTAAGCTAAATAAATTTTGCTGAATAATTGAAAAGCGCTAAGAAAATACTTGGAATCACTTCTACAACATGAAAACTTGATGAGTATATATTGTGTATAATACCTAATTAGCGGAATCACATTTTAAAAGTGTGAATTTTTTTTTGAAAATGTGAACAAATGTTATACTTAATCCCCACCAAATTTGATATGTTTTTTTTGTCAACAAAACAGTTACGAGTTTTTGGTCCATAATCTCCATTGGTTTGAGATCAACCATTGATTACCTGTAACGTATAAACTGTCCCCTCTAGACCAAAAAAGAAAAAAAAAACTGTCCCTTCCAAGGGAAAACTCAACACACACAAATAAAGATTCAGCCTCCCTCCAAGGAAATCCTTAGAACCAAATGAACTATCGGCGCTTAAAAACTTCGATTATAAAAGTAATTTTCTCTAACACAGGTTAATCCCAAATTATTATGAATATAGACATCAGGTCTAAGACAATAATGTAAAGAAATGTTTATTTATACGCGTTTTGTGAATATTCGTATATACATAAGATCTCCTAAACTCTGATTAAAATAACCCAAATTATTTAGCAAAACGCAAAGCCAATAATTGGAATCCGAGAAGTAGGGGTTAATTCCCACACAAAGAAACCAATCTAGCAAGAACTCCAAGGTAAGAAAATCCCATACCAGAAGTAATAAACAAAGGGACATGAAAAACCCTCAAAGCAGAGCAGAAAAATAAACATATAACTTATTTATGCAGAAGATCGTAGTCTTACTTGAATATCAAGGCAAAGTTTGTAGAGCTTCCTGTCAGACGAGACTCTAAGCGATAAACAAAATTTGGAGCTTCTGTCGGAATAAAGGGGAATCAAGAGCTAATATATGCGAGATTATATATTTTGAGTTTGATTTAGTTTGTGTTTAAGGAAAGAAGTCAAAGATCACGAGATATTTACCTTTAAATGAAGATGAGAGTTTAGGAAACAAATAAATTTAATTGGAATATTTAGTTTGCCGAAATGGAAAGTATACTAATCATCAAAATGTGGCCAAGAAAAAGAAAAGTTAAACACAGTTAATTTATTGTTTTTCCTTTTTCTCGTATTTTGTTCGTCAACCTTACAATTAAATGACAATTTCGGAAGAAAATAAAACACAGCCCAAGAAACATATCTACAAATAAGTTAACAAATTTACAGAACACTAAACAATCAACTCCAATGTTAAAAACTACAAAATTATAAATCTGTAAATGTGTTTAGATGTTACCATTCTCGTTTGGTCAGTTGAAATAGTGTCACGTTTTGAGTTCATTAGAAAATTTAGTTAGTTGATTACTCGACAACTACATTTATCCTAAAAAGACTAGTCATGTGATAAAAGCCTGAATCACCTCCTAGTTAGAAAAAAAAAAAAAGTTGTCGAGCTCATTCAACAAAGTTAATAAATATTGTTATTTTATACATTTTGAGATATTATTATAGATTTTTAAAACCTTTTTACTTTTATAATAAGGTTATATTTTAAAAAACTGTACGGTAATGGTATGCATACAAGTTCATCCTAAATCTAAAAATGA